AATCAGCCAGGTGTCATCGGACTCGAGCTCCTTGTTTGGGGAGTTTCCCTTTCCACACAGCTGGAAGAGAAAGTTACCGCCCTATGCTTATTTTTCAGGCCCCCATGTCAACATGCAGATTTTTTAAATAAGCATTGTACAAGCCTAAACCTCAGTATGTTTCGATCTAAACCCTACACCCCTACATCCTAAACCCGACACTTTTCGCTGGAACATGACATCTTCGCCGGGCTGAGGACGCAGGTGGCAAATACCCTATCATCGCCGCTGCGCAGCTTGGTTTTGGGTTCAGGATATCGAATTTTGGCCTTGTGTCTTCGGGGTTTATGGGCCCTAAACCCTAAACCCTCAACCCTAAACCCTAATTCATCCTGGAAACCTAAACCCTAATTAGCCCTAAACGGTTACGTCCTTCTTCCAAATCAGCGAGTTGCGCGAACTAGGAGGCGTGGGCTGGGGAGTTGAGCCAGGCCCACTCACCGGCTGTGAAAATGACGAGCTCCCTAAACCCTAAACCCTAATTAAACCCTAAACCCTAAACCCTAATTAAGCCCTAAACCCTAAGCCCTAATTAAACCCTACACTCTAAACCCTGATTACACCCTAAACCCTAAACCCTAATTAAGGCCTAAGTAAGATGATTCAGTTGTCTGTTTCAGCTTGAGCTCGGATCCACGCCCTTCCTGAGAAAGCCTTGGGCTTGGCAGTCCTGGGGTGTAGGGTTTAGGGCTTAGGAATCAAGGTGTAGGGTTTAGGGTTTAGGAGTCAAGGTGTAGGGTTTAGGGTTTAGGAATCAAGGTGTAGGTATTTTTGTGTATCGTTGTCGTCACATGTCGGCCAGCCATCTTGAACCTGCCATTATTCGGAAGATTTCTGGCCTTTGGAGTGAGGAGGGTTCGTTACCCCATAAGTGTACGCGGGCCGAGTTTGAGATGAAGTCTTATCTGCATGCGATTTGAATATTAGACTTTTTGTTAGTTGTTGGCCTATTATTGCCACCTACTCGTGCTTTGGACATTGCGACAGCTATGAGCTATGATGCCCTGCCCCCTTGAGGCCCTTTCGAAGGTCCCTGCAGCATCCGCTTTGGTAAGCCCTATACATCTTTACCGCAGGGTGGATCTCTGCCCAGGAGAGATTCTCCTCATTGCAGTTTGCCTTGGAGCCTTATGGGGCGGTGCAGTGATGCAGCAGGCTGGGGTCCAGAAAATGCATGTAGTTTGTTTTGGTGGCGGACTCTTCTTCCGAGGTGCATAGGCCGTGCGCATTTTAGTAACCCGTGGCTGAGGTTTAGGGTTGTCTGTATACTTAACAAAAAATATACATATAAATGTATATATATCTTTATCTACATGCATGATAAATAAATAAATAAATGAATAAATAAAAAAATATATATATATATATATACATACATACATACATAGATGCTACGCCCCTGGGGTATCTACCCGTTGCGGGGGGAAGGAGGGTTGGACCGAGTTTGAATGGTCCGTTTGGCGGGCCGCGGTGCGGCATCTGGGATCTAGGAACTCCTTGAACGAATCGAAGCTTATTTAGTAGGGATACATACGGAGAACAGAACACCTTATAGAATACCTCCTATACATACCCTATAGAATACCTTCGAAAATACCTCGTGGAATAACCGAAGGAGTGCCTTTTACACTACCTTATAGAGTACTATACTGGCCCCCAGGTATAACGTACATATGCATTAGAGAATCTGGAACACCCGGTTGAGTCCTCAGTTGAACTGTAGCTGTTGGGTAAGGGGTTCCTATGAGGGAAATCAGGAACCAAGACGAATAGCCTTACAACTACCTTATAGCCTTACAACTACCTCATAGAATACCCTCTCTACGTACTTTAAACAATGTCGTATAGGATACCCTGCAGAATGCCTTTCTAAATATAGGCTACAGAATACATTTTGTACAATACCTTATGGAGTACCCTGCAGAATACCTTATAGAATGCCCGATAGAATACCATATGGAACACCCTGTAGTAGAATATCTTACAGAAGACGGCCTACGCAAGAGACCCACTGTATACCTTAAATATACCTTATCGAATATCCTCTACAATGCTTTTTAGGATACCCTTTAGAATACCTTATAGGATACCCTACAGCATACCCTATAGAAAACGGTTAAGGTAAAGACAACCTGAGACTTCACCAATCAAACGATAGTATAAGTACAAGATTCATATAGAGTACGGTGATACCTTACAGAATACTCGGCAAAGCTATATACATACACCACCTTCCTATATATACACCCTGAAGAATACCTTACACAATACCGCATGGAATACCCTATCGACTACCCAATAGAATGCGCTATAGAATACTTATAGAATGCCCCTATATATACGGTATGCTTTATTGAATACCAACGGCTACTTTAGATAATACCTTTTAGAACACCCCATGTGTGATATGCCATACATAGCCTATATGTCCTGTATGAAATTTGGTGCTATCCAACCGCCTTTCGCTAATCTCATTTTTGGAAAACGCAGAGGTTCGATAGCACCAAGTTTTCTGAAACAGCACTCTTCGGAAAGTTGATGCTATCGATTCGCCCCTGCTTGTTGCCGTATTTGCAACGGATACCACAGCGGTTCGACAGCACCATTTTTTGAAGCAAAACCTTTGGAAAATCTGGTGCTGTCTTAAGGTCTGGAAGATGCAGCGGTTCCGATAGCAGCACATTTTCTGAAACGACACACTTCGGAAAATTTGTAAACCCCTAAACCCCCTAAACCCCTAAGCCCTAAGCCCCTAAACCCTAAACCCCTAAACCCTCAACCCTCAAGCCTAAACCCTAAACCCTAAACCCTAAACCCTAAACCCACCCTTAAGGAGACCGAGCCCGCCCGAGGCGAGCGCAGTTCGCCCCAAGGGCCCGGAGCCGCCGCCGCGCTGGCGGCGCCAAGAGACCGAGGCCGGGCACCTCCGAGGGCGTTTTCGGTTTAGGGCTTAGGGTTTTAGGGGTTTTAGGGGTTTTGGGGTTTAGGGGGTTTTGGGGTTCAGGGGTTTAGGGTTTAGGGGTTAGGATTTTAGGGGCTTTGGGTTTTGGGGTTTAGGGGTTTAGGGGTTTAGGATTTTTGGGTCTAGGGTGGGGAAGTTTGCACGGGTCTCTGTCGTTTATAAGTCCTGATAGTGTGAAAGCAACAGGGGTGTTTTTTGGTTTTTTGGAGAAACAGCTCCTGATGCTTATTGAAGAACATTGATATGACAAATACAGGGTTTTTTGATAGGTAGAAGAGGTCAATAGGTGGTTTTCAAGGGTTTGTTCTATTACGATACGCCCTAAACCCTAAACCCTCCTAAAGAATGCTGTAGTATTTTATGGAGCTCCGGATCTTCGCGGGTTTTTGATACGGCAAAAGGGGAGGGGAAAAGGGCTTGCAAGACAGAGCAGGAATGGTCGATGCTTGGATCGCAGATTTCTGAGGGTTTTGCAGTAAATGGTTGCACCTCTGGTTATGCAGTTCGAAAAGTTTGTGAGAGCTTTCACGGGGGCTTTTTAGGGTGTGTATATGGGCTGTATGGAGCACTTCAAGGTTGTGTGTTGGGTGTTGTAGGTTTTTGTTTTCCGGGGAAGCTGTATGTGGCTCAGATGCTGCTTATGGGTGTTTATGCATTTTTCTCTAACTTGGGGTCCAGCGGTTCGGGTTGAGGGGTTTAGGGCTCAGGGTTTAGGGTTTATAGGGTTCAGGGTTTCATCATGGGTTCAGGGGTTCGTCATGGGCTTCACAGGTTTTTGTAAGGCTTGAGTTTTCTGAATGGTTTTCTATGGCCTCAAATGGAGGTAATGTTTACGCGGCTTCAAAAGGGCTTCCTATTGGCTCATAGTGCCTCACCAGGCTGCACAAAAAGGTCTGTTTTGGGCTTCAAAAGGGTTGGGGGGATTTAACGGCATATCCGAGCAAAGCTCTGACGCGAAGGTGGGACGGGCCTCCGCCGTTTGGCCTTTCTTCGCAAATCGGGGTTGTTTCTTCAACTTCCGTTTCTTGAGCCGTTGATCAAGTTGTCCGCTTGAAGGCCTGGGCCTCACACTTTTCCTTGACATGCGAAAGGCCCAGCTCACCCAGATGTCACTAAACGCAACTCCTGCAGCACCCCGCGAAGCTCAAAGTAGTGCAGAGGCCGGGTTCACTTCGCTTTGGGGCTTAGGGGTTAGGGGTTTTAGAGTTTAGGGTTTAGGGCAGCGTAAGCCAGCCCGGGGTCCGAGAGGCAGCGCTGGCGCCGGAGATACTCGTTTTAGATCCGGCTGAAGAGGGGCCGTCACTGGGGGCGCCTTGGCGGAAATTCACGGGTCACGGGCTCACAGACTCAGGGGTGTAGACAACTAAAGCCCTTCATTCCAAATCCCAATAGGCCCTAAACCCTTTTCCCGGAGCCGTAAGCCCTAAAGTAAGTTACGAGGGCCAGCACAGGGACCCGTTTGTCGTCATGGGACGACCATATTGTTTACAATGGTTTTGAGGGACCTAATTCCATAACAGTAATTTATATATATATATTATATATATATATATATCTATCTATATATATATATCTATATATATATATATCTATATATATATATATGGATCCTCTTGGACTCTTAAAAGGCCCTGTTTCTTGCGATGCCGCAACCAGCGGCCCCCGGAACGGTAAGCCTCCAGAAGGCACCAAGTCCTAAGCTTCCAAAATGTGGGTGCCCCCAAGCTGATGATCATCATCATTACGACTGAAAAAGAGCTTTCTGTGCTATGTTATCACTGTTATCAGGATTTAGGATTTAGGGCTATCGCGCTTCGTCTTCGTCTTGTTTCTGGTCTGTCTTTCCACGTCAGCGGAGAGCACGCCGCGTTTTTGGAATCATGCATGCTGTAGCCGCGCCGGGTCTTGCCCGATTGCGAGTGAGTGAGAGTGAGCTATCGCGCTGGAGTCTAGGGTTTGCAGCTCAGTAGGGTCGGAAGTTGTTCTCGGTTAGCCTTAGGTGGTTCTAGTCGGCGGCAACCCTGGCATCCCCCACTTCTACTGCGACTTCGGTGAGAAGTTGCAGGAGGCGAGGGCTGGGGTTTGGGGTTTTCGGTTTACGCAGCGTGCGTTTTTGGGGCCGTTGGGCCTTTCAGGAAGTTACATACAGTACACGCTATCTTATGTTGTGGTTTAGGGCCGTTTGGGTTCAGGGTTTATTGTCGGAGGATTTTTGGGGTTGCCAGTGAATTTAAGCGTGACCTGGTTGACTCATGGCCTCTCGAGGAGTTGAGCGTCGGCGTCCCATGAGATTGGTTCAGGGTTCAGGATCGACAATAAAGTATGTAATGCAATATACTCGTAATATAATCTAGTATAGAATATATATAAGTATATTATGTACGACGTGAGGTCTAATTTTCAATATCTACTCTCTAAAATATACAATACAATATGTAATCGGCCGACTATATAATATGGAATATAACATATAGTAAGCAATACACAATAAATACATATAATATACAGTATGTAATATACAATATGGTATATAATATAGAACATGCAATGTACAATATGGTGTCTTATGTAAAATATGAACATGTGTAACGTGTAAATCAAAGCATGCTTAATGAAATGCATAACATATAACATATGATATACAACATATATCATATAATTCATAATCTATAGTGTATTTTATGTCACAGATTTTATATATAACATACAGCTAACATATAACAAATATAATATAAAACATTCACCATATAGCATAAAGAAATACCATATATTGTGTATTATGTAACATACAGTTTCTGATGTACAGTAAATATTCAATGTTCGACATATAGCCTAAAACTAGTATAATATAAGATACATATTCTATTTTACATTGTAAAACATGTAGACAGTACGAAAAATAAACGGAAAACACATGATCTATGTATGTATGTATATATATATGTATATACAATATATATATATATATATAATATGTATATATATATACACATACATTCAGCTATACATTATGTATTATGCAAGATTGTATATATATATATACATATATATATATATATTAAACTTATGACCACATAACCCTAAGGTAATATACATCATACAACATGTGGCATATAATACATAGCTTATACTATGAAATATTTAATATACACACACACATGTATATATATATNNATTCATAGTATATATATATATATGTATTGTTATACAATATATAACATAAGATGTACGGTATATTGTATTCAGTATATAACATATCATGTTCAGTATACATAATCGAATACATCATATACAGGGAATAATTTATGTCAATTCATACTATAATGTATAACTTAGTATAATTTGTCATACATGAAATAGGATACAGAATATACAATACAGAAATATAACAGATGATATAACATACTATATTATAGTACTAGGCCTGCTTGCTAGTATCGGGCCTGCTTGCTGGATTCGGCTCGAAGCTTGCAGACCGCTCGGCTTCTTGCAGCACACCCCCTGGGCCCCCGCAAATTTAGGGTTAAGGGTCTGGGCTTGCTGCATTTCCGAGGCTTTCGCACACATCCTGCCCCAGCCCAGAAGGAAGCCGAGCCTGTAGGTGTAGGAAGAGGCATGAGAGTACTTTTCCGCAAAGGACTTTGGGTCACTTCTTACATCAAGAGGTTGCGGAGACCAGGGTGGGATCCCGCTTCACAGAACCACTCCTCTGCTAGACGATTGGGGGGTCTAGGGCTTCTGGTTTAGAGGGTTTAGGGCTTAGGGTTTCGAGGTTTGGGGATGGCCGAACCCTGATGCAAGGATCCGCGAGTGCCATTTAGGGTTTACGGTTTCGAGGTTACGGATGTCAACTCCAGTGTGGTAGAATCTAAGCCTGGACCCTGAACCACCGAATTTGGCCACTGTTGCCAAAAGGCCCTCTTTGCACATGGCCTGGGAGCTACAACGCCGTGGACTCAGCTTTAGGAATTAGGGTTCAAATTTCGGATTTCAGGTTTATGTTATTTTAGAATCACACGAGTAGAAGTTACCAGCCTATTCATCATCAGAGTAATGGTGTGTAATGGTCACAGTGCTCGTAATGGTAACAGTAGCAATGCTGACGAGGATAATTGTAGCATGGCTGTATTCATGATACTCGTAACAGTAATGACAATGCTGCTGGAACTTATGCAGGCAATAGTCATCACAAAGGCACGGGTAATGAGAACAGTTATAATCAGCCCGATTTCCAAGCCCTTGTAACTTATAACTGTGGAAAGGTAGCTGTTGCGGCGGGAGATGTGATCTGACCATGTCATGTATGATTATGTAATACATTTGTATCCGCATGTATCTTCATGTAGGGTTTGGGGTTCAGGGTTTAGTGCCAAGTTTAGGGTTTCGGGATTGGGTTTCAGGGTTTTTTTGGGGACTCTTTGGAACCCCAAACTCGGGATGCACATGCCTTGTCGAATAAGCCTTTCTACGCACCAGAACTCTCACCCACAAGTGGCTATTCCCCAGCCCCCAATCACTTCGAACCCTTATGCCAAACACGGCCAGAAACACCCTAAACCCTAAACCCTAAACCCTAAACAACGCAACAGCCCTGAAATTTGCAGTACCCCAATCCCAGCAAGCCAATCTCTACGAACCACCCCACATCTCACGCGGAAGATGCTGGCATGCATGGACCTTATAATTCAAGCCTACCAGTTTAGGGATCCGTATTCTGATTTCCTTTTATATATATATATATAAGTCCCTTGGAAGGAAATTTGGGGTTAAGGTAGCAGCTGAGGATATACTGCCTGGGCTACGTCAACTTCCCGACCACTGCAGAGGGCGCTAGCGCCAGGGAGGAATCAGGGGCTGCCAGCTTGGACGAGGCAAGTGGCGCCAGGGATTTTGGTTTAGCGCTGGGGTTCAGGGGTTTCGGGTCTAGCAGCAGTTTGGGTTTGGGGTTCTGGGCGTGGGGGCTTGGGGTTTTGGGTTTAGCAGCGTTTTGAGGGGTGCGGTTGAGGCTCAGTTTCGGATTTTGGTTTAAGGATAATTTGTGAGGCTCTGGGGGCGCTCAGAGGTTTTGGGGTTTGGGGTTCAGGGACTTGGTTGGGGGTTGGGGGTTTAATTAGGGGTTTGGGGGTTTAGGGTCTAAGTCTAGGATTTACGGTTTTAGGGGGGTTCAGGGAGAGCTTTGTGGAACCTTAGATAAGCATAGCGGTGCCCAAGACCCAAAGCCCTACAGCCAGCACCCTGAACCCTAAACCCTAAACCCCAGACCCTAAACCCCAAAACCTAGACCCTAGACCCCTAAACCCAAACCCCCTAAACCCTACCCTAAAACCCTGGGCTTTGGCCGGGGGGGTTTTGAGCCCAGGAGGCTGCAGCGATCTCGACGGCTCTGGCATCCCTCCAGGCCGAGTTTTTTGGGGCTGTTTTGCTCGGAGGACTCCTGAGCCTGAGGCCATAATCCCTAAAGGGTTCAGGGCTTCGGGTTGAGGGTTTAGGGGTTTTGGGTTTGGGGGTTTAGGGGTTCAGGGTTTAGGCTTTAGAGCCCTAAGCCCTGAGCCCTAGGCCCTGAACCCTAGACCCGAAGAGCTTACTTTCTTCGGCGGGAGAGACTTCGACCTAAGCTGAAGGTCAGGTCCAAGGGGCTTTGAAGGTATGGGTTAGGGTTAAGGGCTTCGGGTTTAGTTGGTTTAGGCTTTAGGGTTGAGGGCTTAGGGTTGAGGGTTTGGGGGCTTTAGGGTTTAGGGTTTGGGGTTTAGTAGGTTCAGGGTTTCGGGTTTGGGGTTTAGTAGGTTTAGGCTTTAGGGTTTGGGGTTTAGTAGGTTTAGGGTTTAGTAGGTTTGGGGTTTAGGGTTGTAGATTCTGGCAGGTTCGGTGGATTCAGGTGCTGGGGGCTGGATTTGGACTTGAAGGTTTTCAACAGCTGAGGCTTCGGTTGTCACACACCAGATAGAGCCATCGCAACAAGGAGCTGTAAGGGAAGGCCGGACGAGGAGAAGGTGGGGTGAGTTCAGGATCAACCGCAAGGTCTCATTACTGACTAGGGTAGTCTTTTAACCCCTCGAAACCCTTTTTGGGCTTGTACTGCTAGCAAACTGAGAAGTTAAACCTTGCGACTACTGGGAAAGTCGGCAATTGGGTAAGGGATCGGGGCGCGGAGCCCTCAAAACCTTAACGCCCGAAATACCTAAGCCCTAAACCCCCTAAACTCCTAAACTAAACCCTAAACCTTAGACCCTAAACCCGATGAACTATGCTTCGACCCGTTCGTAGTCGAGTCTGAAGAAGCCGGTTTCTCTTGTAGGGTCCACGCAGCCCCAAACCCTGGAACAGAAACTCCGGAAGAAGGATGTCGAAAGTCCAGCTCGAAAGCCCTAACGCCCTGAACCTGAAGTTCCCGGAACCCCACACCCTAAACTCTAAACCCTCAAGCCCTAAACCGTAGAAGTACAGGAGCAACATCGTGGGGCTGGGGTCATCCTCCTTGGCCATTCCATCGGTTCCTGGCAGCTGGACGCCTTTAGCTTAAGGTTTAGGGTTTAGGGTTTTGGGTTTAGGGTGTTGAAGGGCGTTAGGGTTTGTGGTCCTTAAGTTTTGTTTAGGTTTCGGGTTTAGGGTTAAGGTTTCGGGTTTAAGGTTTATGGTTTGGCTTTCAAGGTTTCGAGTTTGGGGTTTAGGGTTTCGGGTTTGGGGCTTAGGGTGGGGTTATGGGGTTTTTGTTGGTTTCAAGGATTGATAGGTCTCTAGCAAGTTCAATGACCAACTTCCAAACTCCAGAGGGAGGATTGGGAAGTTCTGCCCTAGGGTCCGCCAGTGGCGACGCATTCTCACAGAGCAAGGGGGGGGACAAAACGAGAGAGCAAGAGAGAGAGCACCGTGTCAAGTATGTGAAGACTGGAAGCCGGCGAAGCAGCCGGTGCTACGAGAGCAGGCCGGGCCGCAGATAGCAAGAAGCAAAGGTCAGGTGAAGGGAAGAAGTTGAAAGTGAGACGCGAGACAGGTCTGGAGGACAAGAAAAGAAAGGTCCGTATACAGGAGCTGCGTGGCACGATAGAACCCCTCCTGACGCGTGGCTGAAGCTTTTTCGGCTAGAGCTATGCAAATCAGAGCCGACGGCCGCTGAAGCGAGTTCAAGCAAGAACGCAACGGCCGAGTGAGTGCAACAGTGGCAGGTGTTCGAGTTCTTGCTTGCGTCTGAGAGTGAGAGTGGGATGGACGGGCCGGGGCGATGCTGTCTGTAGGGTTGCCATTGCCTCGACTTGCTCCTAATGCGCGTAACAGCAGCACAAGATGCTTGCCGCGACTTTGAAACTTGCAGGTCGTGCATGTGCCTGCATTAGCTCTTAGAAGTATAGGTTTAGGGTTTAGGGTTGAGGTTTAGGTTTTTTTTATGCGAAGCGGCCAGCAATGAAGAAACTCCTGTCCAGCTTTGTGATGACCCCGAACACCAAGCCCCCCCAACGTTCCGCCTTCACCCATGAAGGGCTCCGATGCGCAAAGCTGCCATACTCTGGGCCCTAAGCCTACAGTAAAAGCCTAAAGCCTAAAGCCGAAAGCCCAAAGCCTGAAAGCTGAACCGAAGCCGAAACCCAAAGCCCTCCCCAGACATCTGAACTCGAAAGCCGTAGACCCTATCCCACCCAGGCTTGTGATGCAACATCTGAAGGAAGCATCCGATGAGCTCTTGGCCGAGATCCGGCACGTGGTGCTCGCCATGCCGAGCCTTTTCAGCCCTTTTTGGGGCTTCGAGGGTTCTGCGAGGCGTAGTATGAGGGCTCTGGTAAGGGAAACCGAAAGGGCAATAGAAGGGATGCTATGCAACGGGTCACCGGGTCTTAGGGTTGAGGGCTTTGGGCTTTGGGGTCTTAGGGGTCTGCGAGGGCTTCCGGGGCCTATGGGGAACCCTAAACACAAACTAAACCGCAGTGGTGGAAGCTTAGGGTTTTGAGAGAGCCAGTTGAGGGCAGCTTCACAAAGCGGTCTGAGTATTTCATGCGCATCTGCCCCCGTGGTCTCTACAGACGTATACTGTAGAAGCCCCCCCCACCAACAAAACAACAAAAGAAACCATTGAGGCCCCCTTATCAGATTTAGAGGGCCCGGGGTGCAGGGGGACGAACGACAGATGGAAGCTTCTCCCATCTTCATACCCAAGCTCTGTGACACTTCGGAAGCACGATAAAACCACAAGAACTCCGCACTGGCTCTCCGAGACCCTCAAAACCAAATCCAAGCCTTAAAGGGTAAGCCACTGCCGCCCCTCAAGGCTAAAGTGTAGGACTCCCTACACAAAGCTTGTGAAGCTCGTGGCAACAAAAAATATGTTACGGCCTATCGACACCCCACCCGCACAAGGTATTTGGAGTATGTCTACGGCCGGCAGTCTTTGCTCCTCCGCCTGGCCTCCGCCTCCTCTTTGGTGCGGTTCCTTGCGCTGACACCCGGCCGCAGCCTCCGATTTCCCAAGCTTAAGACCGCCAGGGACCTACCCTACTAGGTTTACTTCTTGTGGTTTGCTGAGATGAGTCGTTATAACTTATAAGGGTAGATATCAGATTCAGAAGTTCCGTATGGTTTGAGGAACGGTCCTTCTTGTTTGAAGCATTCTGGAGTATCTGGGTTTCGAAAGCCTGCCTTCGCTGTGATTGGTGGGTTTAGGCTTTGAGGTGGTGGGTGTAGGGTTTAGGGTTTAGGGTTCAGGGTTTAGGGTCTTGTGGTTCAGGGGCTTGTGGTTTGAGGCTTCGAGTTTAGCAGTGCGCTTTTGTCTTCGGGTAGTCCAGCTCCGCCGCTAGTATGAACAGAAGCCTGAACGTTTTTCTGTTGAAATCTATTCCTGACGGTTCCTGGTTACGACGTGGCCAGCCAAAGACAGAGTCGCAGTGATTGTCTGAACCCCTGCACCTTCATGATAGGCAAAGCGCGCAAACAGCTGTTCGGATCGCTTTACACCCTGGTGAGAGTGGTACTTCCAGGCCCTTTTTCTTCCGGATGACCAAAGTGTTGACTAGATATTGGATACTGCCCCCACTCAGTAACAGTTGAGTTGTATTCGTAATATTCATACTATGGATATATATATATACATACATACATACATACATACATATATATATATATAGTAGCCCTAGTATAGACTGTTACTCTATGGGGATAGTACCCAAAATAGATTGGGGGAGGCCCTAAAAGTCGAGACTCCTAAGCTCTGAGCTTGATCAGCCCTGTCCGACGCCCAGACACCTAGTATAGGAGCCTTTATAATTAGAATAGGGTTTGCGGTATATTATACCATAATTACAATAATAATTCTTAAGGCCCCAGACACCTAGGAGCGCAACGGCAGCGCCGGTCTGGCTGAAAGGCGACCTTTTGGCGGGTTTTAGAGCCCGAAGCCCTGAAGCCAAGACCCGTAGACTGCTTGTCGTATGGGGTTTAGGGGTTTAGGGTTTAGGGTTTAGGGCTTAGGGCTCGGGGTTTAGGGTTTGGGGTTTTGGGTTTGGGTGCTTTTGTTGTTTTTGCCGCTGCTTCCTTTGCTACTAGTATGGTTGCGTTTGTTACTGCTAGCATAGCTAGTGCTTGTACATACTATATATATATACATACATACACATACATACAGACACACACACACATATATATATATACATTAGCAATACATCGACGACAACAGCTGCTAGAACCGCCTCGATGGCTCTTAGTACTGTTTTGAGTTTTCTGCCGCCACTTAGTCTTTGCACGATCGTGACTGCGCATTGTCTGTGGAAGTGTGTCTTGAACTACGTGCTCTCGAGTTGAGTGTTGTGCCCCTATATCCTAAACCCAACCTCAAGCCCTAAGCCGTAAACCGAAACCCACTCTAAACCCAAAGCCCTAGACAAATTCGACCTCGGGGCTTCGAAGGTGATGGTGTTTCCATCGGCGTTGAGGGGCTCAGTGGGTAATCCCCAAGCCCTGCGAAGATGCAGAAGCCCATGTCGAAGCTAAGAAAGAGCCTGTGATAGTGTGACCAGAATCTCCCTTCATAATCATACCGTAATATCCCGTTGTACGAGTGAGGCCCCTCCAACGACTCTCGTCCCCGAGTCTTCTTGCTTTGCTGGCGTTCAGAGCCAGCTTCTTTCTTTAAGGGACCCCGGGATTCCCATCAAAGGACATCGGTATCACGCTCCCTAAACCCTAAAACTCTAAAACCCTAAAACCCTAAACCCTAACCTCCCTGTCTATTTTCCCTGAAAAAGGGGGCTACCCTGTTCAGACCACGCAGAGGGCCCGAAGAGGTGTTTTAGAAACCACTGTAGCATCTCCTCCATAGTTCGGGGAGGGTTTAGGGTTCAGGGGTTTAGGGTTTAGGGGTTTAGGGTTTAGGAGTTTAGGGTTTAGGGGGGTTTACGGGTTTAGGGTTTCCGGCTTCATCTTCAACCGTTGGAGCATGCGGGTCAACGATGATTGCTGCTCGGATTTCCCATGCAAAATCAGCAAGGTCGATCCGGAACCCTAAACCCTAAACCCCTATAGAATCCCTGAATCCTGCTCCAGGATCCCTACCTATAGCCTCCATTGTAGTTCCTTTTTGGGGTTACCTTTTAGGATCCTTAGTATAAAATTGGTTAAGCCATAAAAGGAACTACAATGGAGACTATAGGTAAACCCCTAAGCCTATGAGCCCCAAAGCTCAAGCCGAAAGCTTGGCCACGGGGAGGCCTGGTGGCCTCTGCGATGAGTAGCTCCCCTCGAGGCTCGGCGTAGGTCGTCTCGTAGGGGTTTCCGCTTCGAGCTTTTTTGTTATGGGCCCTAGACCCTAAACCCCTAAACACCTAAACCCCTAAACCCCAAACACCCCTAAACCCCAAACACCCCTGAACCCCAAACACCCCTAAACCCCTAA